TGGTGGGAGGTTATTGATGGAACTGACTGGTGGTGGGAAGGTCATTGATGGAACTGACAGTGGTAGTTGGGAGGTTCTTTGTGCAGGTGGCAGTGATGGTGGGGAGGTTATTGATGGAGCTGGCAGTGATGGTGGGAAGGTTATTGATGGAACTGACAGTGGTAGTTGGTGCAGGTTGCAGTGAGAAGGTCTGTGATGGAGGTGGTAGTAGGGGAGGTGCTTGATGTCGTTAGTAAGTTCTTGTAATGAATGCATCTACATGTGTTAATAGCTTTAATCTTAAGAGTTTATTTAATAGTATACTATATCCTGATAGTTGTATTTAGTGGAAAGTTGAGATAATGTACGTTTTGCATTTTATTTTAAAATAAAAACTGTTTGTGGATTAATTTTGAAATATCAGCTGCAATTTTGTATATATATGTTTGTGAAGTTCATCCAAAATGCACACATCTGTGGAATGTTGGTGTGATTTGCATAAACTAAGGAGTATATTGTGATTATTCAATTCCATGTTATCAGCTCTCTTCTAATCAGCTTAGTGTACATTGTATTAAGAAAACAAACACACATACAAGTCAAGTCGTACATACCCAAGATGCTGATTTGTTCGAGTTACAGACATTGAGTTACAAAAATGACCACACCCATATTTAGAAAAACCAAGTCAAAATTGTAACTCAATGTTCAATTAACAGTTAACTAAACTTCAAGTTACAAGCAACATAAATTGGTAACTGTTGACGACTACATTTAGTAACTCAAACATTAATTAACAGTTAACCAAATTTACGGGCAATGTATATAACATGTTGCCTGTAATTCAAAGTTCTATTACCCCAGGTGCTGGAGGTTGTAATGTTTCGCCCGACACAAACATCACTCCAGTCTGACTGCTATAGGAACTGAGTTCCACCCACCCACTCACTAACTAAATGCATGCGACCTTTGCCAATCATACAAGACTCTTGACGTAGCTGTTAATAAACAACTGAATATATTAACTAACCATATATGGGAGATGGCGGGTGAAATCAACGTTTTTATCCCAGTTTCTCCAGCACTGTCGTCAATCGTAAGTGCTTGAGTTCATTTGAGAGTTATTTTTGTCGGAGCTCACATTGTACGGTTTTCTACCACGATCTGGATTTAGTTCATCGACAAACTTGTTGGAAGTTTCTCGTATCAGACTGGAGTTATTTTATGGACCAGCGTAATTAATCGCATGCATTAGATATTATTTTGCTTCTATATTTATTAATTTGCTCTTGTGATAATCTTGATGAAACACACAAAATGTCTTCTAAAATAGTCTTTAAGGCTAATTTCAGCTTTTCCTTAGCAACCATGGCAAAATTTTATGAACAGTTACACACAGTCTAAGCCGAGACGCACACTGACACCGACAACGGAAAATGGCACCAGTCAGGTGATTTTGTTTAAGACATTTGCTATAAATAGAGAGGGCGTTTGATCGACACTCACGTCACCCAATCAGCGCTACATCTATTTTATGAATGGCGCACTCAGTTTCGATAGCAGTCAGACTGGAGTGTTGTTTGTGTAGCATTATCCTACCGGGCAGGCGGAACATTACAACCTCCAGCGCCTTGGGTAAAGTTCTATTAACTGTTAAATGAACATCAAGTTGCAATTGGAAGAGGTCTTGCAAAAGTGCATGGGTGTGGTTTCTAAAATATGGGTTTGATCACTTTTGTAACTCGATGACTTTGTAAACTCGATGCTCATAACACTTGGAAATTGAACAAAATGCAATAAATAACACAATCAAAAGTAAATACATCAGTTGCTTTATGTACAAGAATGTTTGAATAAACACAAATACGTCTGAATAGCATTGATTTTTCGTTAGACTTATACACCAGTAACCATGACAACATAATGTCCATGGTGTATATATGGCAAGAAAATGCACACACATCCTAATTTGTCTATGCACTAGACAATAAGTCTGCGATTGTCATGGTGATGAAATGCTTTGAGAATGTAATTCACATATCAAAAAAAATTTCTTTGTTGCAAAAAGTTGCTAATTTACATCCTGTAAAAGTATATTGAAATCAACATGTCAAAAAATAGATTTTACAACATACATTATTATATTAGGAATCTTCTTCCACTTGTGCATTATGAATGTGATTAAATAAGAATTTTCAAATTAAAATTATAACAAAAATACAGAAATACATTTATAATCGATATAATGGATCAATCCAGGTTGTGTCTATATAATTGACCAATCAAGGATGAGTTTAAATGTATATAATGGACCAATCCAGAATGAGTTATATAATTAACCAATCCAGCATGAGTTAATATAATGGACTAATCCAGGATGAGTTTATATAATGGACCGATCCAGGATGAGTTTTTATAATGGACCAATCGAGGATGAGTTTATATAATTAACCAATCCAGCATGAGTTTATATAATGGACCAATCGAGGATGAGTTAGTATAATGGACCAATCCAGGATGAGTTTATATAATGGACCAATCCAGGATGAGTTTATATAATGGACCAATCCAGGATTAGTTCATATAATGGACCAATCCAGGATGAGTTTATATAATGGACCAATCCAGGATGAGTTTATATAATGGACCAATCCAGGATGAGTTTATATAATGGACCAATTCAGGATGAGTTTATATAATGGACCAATCCAGGATGAGTTTATATAATGGACCAATCCAGGATGAGTTTATATAATGGACCAATCCAGGATGAGTTTATATAATGCACCAATCCAGGATGAGTATATACAATGAACCAATCCAGGATGAGTATATACAATGAACCAATCCAGGATGAGTATATACAATGAACCAATCCAGGATGAGTATATACAATGAACCAATCCAGGATGAGTATATATAATGCACCAATCCAGGATGAGTTTATATAATGGACCGATCCAGGATGAGTTTTTATAATGGACCAATCGAGGATGAGTTTATATAATTAACCAATCCAGCATGAGTTTATATAATGGACCAATCCAGGATGAGTTAGTATAATGGACCAATCCAGGATGAGTTTATATAATGGACCAATCCAGGATGAGTTTATATAATGGACCAATCCAGGATTAGTTCATATAATGGACCAATCCAGGATGAGTTTATATAATGGACCAATCCAGGATGAGTTTATATAATGGACCAATCCAGGATGAGTTTATATAATGGACCAATCCAGGATGAGTTTATATAATGGACCAATCCAGGATGAGTTTATATAATGGACCAATCCAGGATGAGTTTATATAATGCACCAATCCAGGATGAGTTTATATAATGCACCAATCCAGGATGAGTATATACAATGAACCAATCCAGGATGAGTATATACAATGAACCAATCCAGGATGAGTATATATAATGCACCAATCCAGGATGAGTTTATATAATGGACCAATCCAGTATGAATGATGCTTGATACATTTATGTACCTAGTCTGTGATATCCAGCAATGTAAACTGAGAGATAGAATCCATCAGCCACTTTACTGATGCTGATCGTAACTTTTTTGACCGTATTTTGCTTGGTGGCTTTTGCACATCATGATCATGTATAATATAGTGTGTGCACTCCGATAGATCAGAGTTTGGTGTAGCATGGTACGGTACTTCCTGGCTGCTGTTACAGTCATCCATCTTTGGTTCACGTAGTAATATTTTACCATCTCCAGACTTTACTAACTGGTTCAAGTCTTCTTTCACTGGCGTAGGTGAATTAAATTTGCCATGGAAGTAGAAATGACAGCCGTTGAAAAGTCCAGGATACTGGAAAATAAACATCTAGAGCATTAGAGCATTACAAGCCAGATTATATGCTAATCTGATAATTTCATAAGCGAAATACACACTTTTTTTTACATTATTTTCATAAATCTAAAAATGACACTTACGGTAAATAGCAAAAAAAGCGTTTTCAAGAAAATTGTTTAAAGCTTGTTTGAACAAACAGCTTTTCAGAGGTGAACAATGTATATTCAGCTTATACGTCAACCACCACCATAGCTGGCATGTCATAAAATAAACCACCAGTCGCAACTGCCTTGGTTCCGCTCAGAATAGACTGGCCCAGTCGTGTCAATTTTATTGTTTTATATGATAATTAACAAGTTTATAGAATCTTCCGCATTGATGCAAAATTACCACAACGTCTATTCTGCCCTCTATAGTTGTCACGACGTTTTTGTGGTGACAAATATGCTAATGAGTAGCATCACTTGTAAGCTGCCAACCAATGAGAAAAGCTGCTTTTGGTTTGATCCGTTCTAAACAAGTATATCGCACATGTGGCCTGACGCATAGAATCCTTTGTCCGAGTGCACGCCAACTTTCCTCTTTTGGAAGTGTTCTACTCCCGGGTTCCATAACGTCACTGCATATCATGAATAAGTAACAGCAATGGATATGCTGCAGAATCGACCAGTCGTGGTAATTTCGCATCGGGCCACGAAAGAAAATATATAAAATTGCCATGGCTGGGCCAGTTTCCCCACCAAGGGCAGATTCGAACACGACAGGGTAAAATAAAAACCGTTCACACCACTCAGTGGGAATTGTTTACTGAGTTCAGAATGTCTAGCCAAACTTAAGTGCATGATTATTCCTAGGTTTTTATTGTCATTATTTACAAGTAAAAAGTGTGAAATAGGGATACCGTAATATTCAATAAATAAATAAAATTATGAACTAACATGAGCAGAATGTGTGCAATTTGAATACTACTCAGTATGATTGTACATTTATTAATGATAATTTGTAATGTCTATTTTATCCTTTGCAGTTTTTCAACACCCATTATGTGTCTTGTTTAGTCATTTCAATCTCTCTCATGTCAATTATTTACTCACTGCAATATGTTTTTTTTTACACTATATATTTTAGCGTTTATTTAGTAATAATTCAGTGTGCGTATTGGGAGGGGGGGGGTCAATGATGGGGAACAATTTTTGATTGACAGTATGATAGCACCCTCTTGTGGCAAATGGTTGGAACACACTGATTGACTTGGGTCGATGTTATTCGTAATAACGTGGTTTGACAGTAGGTCAAAATACAAACCTTCGGGGAAAGTCCTGTTTGGATGCTAGATTTTTTTTTCGTTAGGCGAAAAACTAAAACTGGTTGAAATTTTCGAATAAGAATAAGGCGGCAATTTTAAGTGAAGGCAAAAATTTGGAGGCCAATAAAATACCAAAACTGCCAAATAATCACCCGAACAAATTTTTAGAGGGGTCGAAATTTTAGAGTTTTTACGGTAGCTCAATCTATCCTAGATGATTTTTGATAATGAATTTCTGTATCTCTAAGTTGATCTGAAGTAAATGGGAAAACAGTTCAATTCAAAATGGCAGCCAAACCTTGTGACCAATTCTAAAAATGCACTTGGTCCATCGATATTAACAAACCAAATGTCAAGTCCATTGGGTCCGGTGTTTTATGCTGAGCATTTCTATTTTTTCTTCAAACCAATATGGGCAAAGAACATTTTGAAAGTTAGGCACACCTGGAATAGGTTTGTGTTGTCTCCCCTAGCTACTGTTATAGGTTATGTATCAACAGTTACATTGCATATGTGACGTCACATCTGAGACAACTCAGAGCAGTTTTTCCTGTCTCTGCTAGAAGCTTGAAGAGTAAGAGCTACAAACAAATTGTTAGGAATTTACAGTACTTTAGAACGAGACAATTTAAACGATCAAGAAAGAGACTCACCTGTTGTTCATGGTTCAATCTTGCTTTACGTGGTCCGAGACTAAAAGGATGAGTTACGGTGCCGGTCACTTCAAAGTACTGTTCTTCCACCAGTTGTTGCTTCTTTAGACAGGTTGTAACCCCTAGTGAGCATTGACACATTGTAATTGACAGCTACCGATAATTTTGATGAAAATGATCAGATAATTTTGCTCAATGTGCAGGTATATTACTATGTATATGCAAAGTAATACCAACTATATGCAAATGTGTATGCAAATTACGAGCAATTGTATGCAAATGAACACTATGTATATGCAAATTACTTCTACAAGATGCAAATAGGCACTATGTGTATTTAAATTAAAATATTAATTATGTTTATTCAATAGTAAAAAAGAGGAATTGCATTTAACATAATTTCACCCAATGCACATATTTGCTACCAGTATGATGTTGGTCTTTACTTACAATCAAAACTAACAATCCATTTTCCATGAAGGATTGCCTGTAAATATTTCATAGTTCTGGGACACTGCCCATCTTCATTACAACTAGTTACAACGTGACTGACTGAGTCATCAAACTCATCCAACACCTTGCCCTTCAGTAATTTAGCACAGTGATCCAACTTTGCTTTCTGCTCTCTCTTTAGACCAGTACCAACTATGACAATATCTACCATTTTAGATCGACACATGGTTTCAAACTGAAATAAAAATAATTGGGTTAACTATCGTAGACATCACCATTTTCTCTACTACTCTTTGGCAAATGTCCATCAATTGAACAAGTGATTCCAAAGTGTTCACAATTATAACAACTGATTCCAAAATGGCCACTGATTAAACAAATAATTTAAAAATTGCTACCAGTCACAGTGCCATTCATCTCAGATTAGTGTGAGCTTATTTTACCTTTGGCGAGGACATCTGTGGTGTGATAGACACAGGCACAGTGTTCAGTGCTTTTCTCAAATCATCATTTTTGGCAACGTCCCAGGGTGTCAATCCATGAATATTTCTAAAAATAAATAAACAAAGATTATTATCGTTAATTTTTCCTATGTATCAGTAACAAGTATTAGTGGAATATACACTATGGAACATATAGAAATACGCCTATATATATATATATAGAAATCCTATAGAACATATAGAAATACTCCTATATATATATATAGAAATCCTATAGAACATATAGAAATACTCCTATATATATATATAGAAATCCTATAGAACATATAAAAATATTCCTATATATACATAGAAATCCTATAGAACATATAGAACTACTCCTATATATATATAGAAATCCTATAGAACATATAGAAATACTCCTATATATATATAGAAATCCTATAGAACATATAGAAATACTCCTATATATATATATATATAGAAATCCTATAGAACATATAGAAATGCTTCTATATAATATAATAAAATCTTTCTTAACTTCAAGAGATACTCTTATTCAATATACGCTACCTGACATCCAAAGATGCTCCCCGCTGAACCAATAACTTGACAATATCGAGCTGTCTGTTGTACAAAGCGTCGTGTAATGGCGAATCATTCTCATAACCTGGAGTGTTGATGAAGGCCCCATGATCCAGGAGCGAAGTCACAATCTCTATGTAACCATGGTTACAAGCTTCATGCTGCATCAAAGAGGAAAAGATGGTGTTTTGAAAATGTCTTCAGAATTTGGAGTGAAAGTAGTAATGTTTCTAGTGTTAGTCAAAATAGATTACCGGAATATTTTTCTTCAACATTGAGTTTGAGATATAAAGCCACAGCCAATTTAGCCTCCATGGTTTGACAGTTACCAGTAAATCCAGATCACTCAATGGCATATGGCATTTTACATGACTCTTTTTTACACAAGAACACATGGCCCAGTTACTCAACACAATGTACTAATTAAATTAACAACTAGAAATATATGTGTCTAGGATTTGTTAATGCAAGGATGCAAATCATGTCAGAACATAAAACACCCGTCATTGTTTTGTTTTTCTTACCAAAGGTGTCCAACCAGCATTGTCTTTAAGATTAGGCTCAAAACCAGATTCCAATAATTCTTTCACTGTTTTCGCGTCACCCTACAGAATGTAAGCAGTCATGATTACATGTATTACACATCCAATCTGTACATGCTATTAGTCGTTGAAGGTAATTTAGCTCACGACAATCTTTCATGCTTTATAAAAGTTTTTAGGTCTCGTAACAAAGATATGTAAAGTTATAATAAAAGTTACCTACCTTAATTGAGGCAATATGTAAAGCTGTTTCCCCCTTAGCATTTCTCTTTATTTTATTACCAGGGGATTTACTGCATATACCTGGTGGTGAAGACAGACTGGAACCAGGGGAAGTTGATCTACGTGTTCTTCTCACAGGAGTGTTAATATCCCTACCAACTGGTGATGATAAACTAGATTTTGGAGATACTGATTTACGTGTTCCAGTTGCAGGGGTATTCTCGTGGCTTCTTCTCCCTTTCCTTTGGGGTCTTTTTGAATGACCTGTGATCTCTACACCTGGTTTTAATAACTTCTCTGCGGTTATATCATCAGCATTTTCTTCACTCAACCTCTTTCTAAGTATATGCTGCTTATTGATGTTTTCACCAGAGACGTTCCTTCTCACTGATTGATCAGATGCACCTAATTCTTCCTTATTCTCTGTATTCTCTTTTTCAACCTGAAGACTGCCATCATACTTATCATCTTGTTGCCTGGATACACTTTCATCCACTTCCCTGAAGGATACTCTTTTTTCATTTTCACCAGCGTCACCATCTTTATCAGCAGTACGCCTTGTACAATTTCTGTTTCTTAGACTCCATTGTTTATTATAGGATTCTATAGTTTGCTTTTTAACTGCTCTGGCTATTCGACCAACTAGAGGCTTAGGTTTAGTTGGAGATGCTATGAAGTCAAATACATCACTATTGTTTGCATCAACAACTTTTTTTCTCGGTAGATTGTTTTTCACATTTTGTACTTCAGGTACCTTACTTTCTCTTGCTCTCAGATTAACCGTATATCTCATAATACTGTGTTTAGAAGAAAACTTGGTCTCAATCATTGTTTTGCTCTTTTGGCTCAGAACCAGTGAGTTCTTTTCCTTTATATCTAGTTTCTTAGCAACGTTCCGTTTTCTCCTCCTGTTTGATGCAGGTTCAAAATCTTCATCATCTTTATCATCATTATCTGGAGAATATTCCTCTTCTAACTCATCCTCTGTATCATCACTATGGCAACTGTCATCGTGAACATCAGAATCACTTTCAGTGTTATCTTTCAAGTCATTATTTGAAGTGTTTCTTACAGTTTTATCAGATGTGTTCTCGTTTTCAATGTGTTCATTCAGATCTGCATCATCACAAGTTTCCACGGAAACATGATCTTCATCAGATCTCTCTTCTGCAATGGTATAAATATCATACAGACTTTTAAAGACAAGCAACCTGATGGAATACTAGTTTGATTGCTCAACATGGAGTATAATGTTTATTTCTCAACATGGAGTTCCATTTTAATTTCTCAACATGGAGTTCCAGTTTAATTTCTTAACATGGAGTTTCAATTTAATTTCTCAACATGGAGTTCCAGTTTAATTTCTTAACATGGAGTTCCAGTTTAATTTCTCAACATGGAGTTCCAGTTTAATTTCTCAACATGGAGTTCCAGTTTAATTTCTTGACATGGAGTTCCAGTTTAACTTCTCAACATGCAGTTCCAGTTTAATTTCTTAACATGGAGTTTCAGTTTAATTTCTCAACATGGAGTTCCAGTTTAATTTCTTAACATGGAGTTCCAGTTTAATTTCTCAACATGGAGTTCCAGTTTAATTTCTTGACATGGAGTTCCAGTTTAACTTCTCAACATGGAGTTCCAGTTTAATTTCTTAACATGGAGTTCCAGTTTAATTTCTCAACATGGAGTTCCAGTTTAATTTCTCAACATGGAGTTCCAGTTTCACTTCTCAACATGGAGTTCCAGTTTAATTTCTCAACATGGAGTTCCAGTTTAATTTCTCAACATAAGAGTTCCAGTTTAATTTCTCAACATGGAGTTCTAGTTTAATTTCTTAACATGGAGTTCCAGTTTAATTTCTCAACATGGAGTTCCAGTTTAATTTCTTGACATGGAGTTCCATTTAATTTCTTGACATGGAGTTCCAGTTTAATTTCTCAACATGGAGTTCTAGTTTAATTTCTTAACATGGAGTTCTAGTTTAACTTCTCAACATGGAGTTCCAGTTTAATTTCTCAACATGGAGTTCCAGTTTAATTTCTCAACATAAGAGTTCCAGTTTAATTTCTCAACATGGAGTTCCAGTTTAATTTCTTGACATGGAGTTCCAGTTTAATTTCTCAACATAAGAGTTCCAGTTTAATTTCTCAACATGGAGTTCCAGTTTAATTTCTCAACATAAGAGTTCCAGTTTAATTTCTCAACATGGAGTTCCAGTTTAATTTCTCAACATGGAGTTCCAGTTTAATTTCTCAACATGGAGTTCCAGTTTAATTTCGCAACATAAGAGTTCCAGTTTAATTTCTCAACATGGAGTTCTAGTTTAATTTCTTAACATGGAGTTCTAGTTTAACTTCTCAACATGGAGTTCCAGTTTAATTTCTCAACATGGAGTTCCAGTTTAATTTCTCAACATAAGAGTTCCAGTTTAATTTCTCAACATGGAGTTCCAGTTTAATTTCTTGACATGGAGTTCCAGTTTAATTTCTCAACATAAGAGTTCCAGTTTAATTTCTCAACATGGAGTTCCAGTTTAATTTCTCAACATAAGAGTTCCAGTTTAATTTCTCAACATGGAGTTCCAGTTTAATTTCTCAACATGGAGTTCCAGTTTAATTTCTCAACATGGAGTTCCAGTTTAATTTCGCAACATAAGAGTTCCAGTTTAATTTCTCAACATGGAGTTCTAGTTTAATTTCTTAACATGGAGTTCCAATTTTTTAACTATTTAATAATAGATTACTTACCTTTTTTTTTGATATAATTTCCTTTCACAATCTTCTGTAGTTTCATACAAAGGTGTACAACATTTGTAAGTTGTCTGTTTGTCTGCAAGTCTTTAACCCATGCGGGGGCGCTGCACACAGGGCAACTATTGCCAAGATGGCTGCCAACACAGGATCTAAAATTTCAATCAAAAAGTCAGTTAACGACACAGTCTTAGTACTTTTATATTTTATGAAACTGACACTTGAGAAGACAAAATTGGAAAAGATGTCAAGTACAACTACTCAATTAAGAATAAGGTTATTCATGATAGATAATGTAATATGGCCAAAAACCAAGATGGCTGCAAGTCTGTTGCAGAATACATCATATTGAATAATGCAAATCATTGGTCATGTGACCAGGTAAATTGTTTCTGAATGAATTTGTAGTGTATGGTCAGTTATTGAGAGTGAATTGAGAGTACCGGTGATCTAGTATCAACAATAATCAGATTCATTAAATGACTTCTAAATTTACATATACATCTAATATATGGTCATAAACTTAATATTTGTATTTGCAATTACTCATATTTATGTATTCTTTTTATCCAAAATAAAATGCCCGTCTCCAGTATTGTTAGCGCGTGCCAGCTTATTTATTATGGTGTTACTCGAAGACTTTCTTTTTAATGTTTTCATGACAGGAAATTAAAGCATTTTACAATTTATTGAGAACGAAGGATAAGTCAAACATGACATAAAGTACTTAGGAATATGCAAAGAATGAACAGTTTATAAATCAAGGGGATTCTGAAATATGACTCCAGACAGAAAGACAGACGGACGGACGGACGGATGGACGGACGGATGGATGGAGCCAGAATTATAAGCCCCTATTGCAAACTTTGTTCGAACAGGAACTAATTAATCAGATTGAAAGACAAACCATTGTTGTTACCATGGCAATTACAATTGTTATGGTCTTGTTACAATTCTCATAGAGGTCCATTGAAAAAAAAATTTGCTAAAAACAGAGAATTGAAGATGCATGTATCTTCACAAAATGAACAAATCTGACAGAGGTACCTACATACCAAGTATCAAAGTAATTGAGCTAGTAGTTTTCAAGAAAATGAAAATGTAATTGTTGAAGGACAACAGATGGACATCATCTAAATGAACAGTCCTGTTCTGTCATCCATGATGACAGCAGAACTAATGGCGTCATCAGTGGATACTGACACTGTTTATCAATCTGTCAATCAGTTTTCTACGAGTTCACAAACCAGATTCAAGTGGAAACAAAAGTATTCCTAAAGTTTAACACAGAGGGCACTCACCCTCAAAAGTTTGTTAACCTGCACTTTTGACCCTATTCAGACAAAATCATGGTTGCAGTCAATTCACAAGGTCACTAAAAATGTTGCTGTACGTTCTTTACTTTATAGCTTTTGTAGTATTCTACCAAATATTACAATGGGTTGTGAGAAAACCCACGATCTCAGGCATCCCTGACAAGTATGTTTTTATCACCGGTTGTGATACTGGCTTTGGCAACATGTTAACAAAACGACTTGACAAGACGGGATTTCATGTGTACGCTGCTTGTCTCACCCAGGATGGATGCCGATCATTGAAGCAATCTACATCAAGTCGTGTAACTACACTGCAAATGGATGTTACAAATACACAGAGTATCAGACAAGCGTACGAACGTGTTAGCAAACTAATACCACCAAATAAAGGTATGTACTTTCCATGCTTAACCGACATTTAATTTTGAGACTGGAATAGATAACCAGGGTTAAAAAAAAATTTTTTATAATTTGGACAATCAAGTTTGAAGGTTTGGGGTCTCTACTTAGATCACTATTTATTTGTGGAAACATCTACCATTTGTGCAATCCACTTTTGCGTCCTAAAACAACACCCAACAGAATGGATTTGAATTTACAAGACCGTTGTACATGTACAACAAAAGGCAATAGGCAAATGTTTAAATAAATTAGAGGAGCATATGCTTTTAATATTTTCATGTGGTATACTCACGAGCATGTCTATTTTATAACTAGACGTGATAAAATCCCAAGAAATGGGTTTGTGCTATTTTATAACAAACTCATGTGACCCACTTTAAAGAGAACGCAGTGGTTTTAACATGCATGCAAACATCCAAAGAGATGTGTCTTTATCAATTTGGTCTGTGTAAATGTCACAGTTTGCAATGGCACAGATGTAGCTGCATTCATGCCAATGCACCCAAACTATCTTTTAGTGAGGTTAAACTCACCGGCCGAAGCTGAAATCACAATCTGGATCACCTTTACAATTTAAAAAAATCAATCATGTTTGTTTCATTACAATTAACAATTTTAATATGCATGCATGTTGATTGACACCATGTTAAACATGCTAATTTCATGAACACAGATGTGAGTTAGTGTTAGAGTAACAGCAACACATAACACAAATTCTAACCTGTCAAACCTGTGTATAGAAATGTGTTTCAACCATATTGGATTTTTCAAAGAATTATGTGTTGACAACTGAACCACGGAGGGTGCTGGAGAGGGGGGTGTATATTTTCCATACAGCCCTGTGTTAACATCAGGTGTCAACGTCATGTTTTCAAACAAAGTTCTAGTTGTGTATTGTCGGACTGTAAAGTAATTTCATTGAGAAGATGGTTTTAAAGATTTGCATAGTTTTGGAGCTGTGCACTTTGGAAGCAAACTTAACTAAATATTTACATTTTACAAAAATTTCATCAAAAAAAAAAAAAAAATCAAAGAAAGCTTAGAAAGAACTCCCGTGTGCTGAGAGTTTTGGAGACACATTAAAAATTAATTCAAAATTACTTATACTTGAGATATTGATGGAATAGCTGAAAACTAATTATGCAAATAAGGTAACTAATATGAACAGATTTAGGTGTAAAACTAATAAGGTCTGCACAATGTACCAAGTTTCATTGAAATGTGATTAGAACCAAAAAAATATTAATTATTATACTAATTAGAGAATTAATATGAACAGATTTTAACCCAAAATTAATAAGGCTGTCTATTGTCCTAAAGCATTTACATGTATGTACCAAGTTTTATTCAAATGTGATGATCAATACTTGAGATATCAGTATTAATTAATTATGTTAATTAGATGATTACATGTAAGAAGCATAAATATTTACCAAAAACTAATATGGTGCATAGTCTTAGGTTCATTGAAATGTGATGGGTACTCTTTAAAAGTTTCATTGAAATCCAATGAGTGGTTTTTAGACATCAGTGCAATAGCCATAGAACAGCAAAAAATTAACTAATTATGCAAATTAGGTAATTAATACATGTAGGCACAATTATTTATCCCAAAATTAATCAGGTCTCTGCATAGTCCTAGAATATCTATGTCGCAAGTCTCATTGAAATGTGATGATTAGTACTTGGGATATCAGGTGAAAAGCTGAAAATTAACTAATTATGCTAATAAGGTAATTAATATGCACACATATTTACCCAAAAACTAATCAGGGGTCTGCACAGTCCTTCAAGTAACTATGTACCAAGTTTCATTGAAACGTGATCATTACTACTCGAAATATCAAAAGCTAAAAAATAATTAATTATGCAAATTAGGTAATTAATAACTGATATTACCCTAAAAACTATCAGGTCTGTGCAGTGTCATATGACATCTATGTACCAAGTTTTATTGAAATGTGATGATTAGTACTTGAGATATCAGTGGAAAAGCAGAAAATTGATTAATCATTATGTAAATTAGATAATTAATAATATTAACAGATTTTTACCCAAAACTAATCAATCTATATGCCAAGTTTCACACACACACACACACACACACACGCACGCACGCACGTACGCACGCACGCACGCACGCACGCACGCACGCACCAATCAGTTTCAGGTAGGTCTTTCATTTTTTTGACACGGGTAACATGAATGGCTGCTTT